CTGTATAGCCAATACATCCTTAAGAAAGAAATGCTATCATGCAAACGAGGGGGGAGAATGGGAATGTTCGCAGTATTCGACCGCTTCTACCCCTTTTATTCATCTATTACTACACACTACTTAGACAATTTGTCGAGATATTCGTAATATCGTCATGACAGGCAACTGTCATTGTGGCTTCCAAATTATCGATAGGTCCGTCTTTTGGTAGGTTTCTTATTTAAAGCGAGGCTTTCTTTTAGAGCTAACCGAAAGGAAACGGGAAGGGAAGATCGCAATGGCAAGGCCTGGCACTGCTTCCTGCGGAAGCCTTTTTTTGAAACCGGAGACGCATTTATCAGTAATAGTGGTGGTGTTCCAGAAAGGAACCGAGGGGCTGCGAAAACAACTGCGGCAGATGTGAACTCTTGGCACGCGCCCTTCTGTTACGCAGCGGTGCTCACCCTGTTTCGTTCAACGAAACTCCAAATAGTACAGTTCCTATTTAACGTTTCTAGCACTGCTTAGTCAAATTCTACCCGATTGATGAACGTTTCGAGAACAGATGTACGTCCTTTATCGATTATGCATTCGATCGCGGGCGCTCGAAGCGTATCACAGTTTGCTAAGCGTCCGCACGTGCGGAAGCCAACTGTATCGGGTTACTTCCTGCATCGTTGAAACTTTATATTCTCTATATAGAAGAGAAGGATTAGATCGTTCGTTCCTGAACAGATTCGACATGCTTCCCTACGAGAATACATCTGTCAAAAGTCTGAATCCGTCGATATAACGTAATCCCTTCTCATTTGCATCTGTCGCTTCAAATATCGATCCTACCTAACTCGCGTCTACAGATCTGTAAGGATTTCAAAATCTGTTACAAATTCCTTGTCTACAGAGAAACTATACGTAGATAAAAAAAAATCAGTTCGAATAGGCAACAAGTAGGCTTCCAGTCTGTTCGTCGTCCGATTGAACGTTCGGTAAGAAATCGAAGAAGGAATCGATTTTCCCGGAATTTCTGTCGAGCCAGGTATACATCGCGCTTATTGTAACAAGGAATTCCTTTATGCGAAAAGATGCGCGCGTACACGCGACCGTCGCCGTCGAGCAACCACGCCGACTGCATTATTTCTTTGTTCCCTGGAATTCGAGGATCGATCGGGATTCGTGCCAAAAGCTGCCTTTCATTTTCTATAAGAATAGATCGCGAGGTTCCATCATGGCAATGGGTCGAAGTCTCGAAAGTTTTGAAAAAACGTGGTGCTGGTGCAATTCGTCTGACGTTGCGTCGGGAAGGTTTCGGTCTACCGATCGGTGGTGGAAACTCGAAAATGAGCAGATGTCGGGAACACGAAGGAAAGTTACTTTTGAGCAGGTGTATGTCGCGCACGCGACAGGTGAACGGCGTAGCATGCCTCTTCTGATGTATTTTTAAGGTTGACCGTATCGGACTCGAACGAGGATAAACGCAAACCCGAGACTTAAATACGATGAAGAGCAGAATTGATCCAACAGAAACTGTTCTATAATCGGCATACAATTTTCGTACATCATTCAGCAAACTGATCCGTGTATGTTAAACCCAAATCGGGTCGGCCGTTGATCGTCATGTGTCGGTTCAGTTCTGCTCTTTGCTGTAGGCGTATCGTAGTAACTGTAAAATCGTTTCTAAGACCGCTCTATTGAATTCCAATCGGGGAAACAGAGCCGTCGTCGATTGTGACTCTGCGTGATCGTGATAAAAATGAGTCGTCGCTCGCTTCTTACGCCCCGTACGTACGCACGTATCGCGAGGGTTTGGTTTTTCCCAGGAGACGATGAGATTTCCGAGACGATACCGTCTTCTCCTCAGGTAAATAATCCACGTGGAGGACACGACGAATAAATTCGCCAGCGGAATACTAAGCGCGCGTTCCTTCGTTTCAAATCCATTCGCGGTTCCGCGAAAGGATATTATTTACGTGGCTACCAGTCTAATGGATTAACATCTAAAGTCGAGAATATTCCGGTATACTTTTTACTTTGCTGAATATAATTGCTATGTAAAGGGACATCGATTTTTCAATATTATTCCAGTCTTGCGCGCAGTATACTTATCTCGTTGTACGTACGTACATAAATACATAAGTATGAGATGCATTGGTATGCCAAGTTAAAAATGCCTGTAGAACAATCTGCTTCAAGGATTTCCTTTAGTTTAATTATAATATGGAGAAAACAATTTTCGGATGAGTCTCGTAAATTGTTTCAATCCCTGAAGTCTGGACAAAGGGAATCGGAATAAAATAAATATATACAGACATTCATTTAGTTTGTTTCTTCTAATAATTTTTAAACAATAAATACAGTTTTACTCCTCTGGAATTATTTTATATATTTAAATATCCTGGACAAGAACCATGATTAACTACAATGAATCTGTTTTATCATGCTGAGAGCGCTCGCTGCTTTCAAATCGAGCGGCAGCACTACCAAGAGAAAACATGGAGAAAACAGAATTGGTCTCATTTCGCGCAGTGTGCGTGGTTTACATTTTACGTTTTTGAACGGAGTTGGTATCTTCTATTTTAATAAAATTGATTGAAAACTGTTCTTAAATGTTTCGGAAATAGAATTTTGCGTCAGTGCTTCGTTCTCATTCAACGGGATTATTGATCATGGTTCGGAGTAGCGACAAGTAAGTATTCCTCATCAAATGATCTTTCTAGGTTAAGCTCATTGTTTCCACGATTAGGAAACTGTAAACTGATTAACTTCCCTTCATTTATTCGTTATGTTAACGAAGGAATTTGTGCTTTTGAATCAGGGATAGGCATCACAGGAGGCGATCGAGGACGCGGTCGCGATCGAGATCGACCACGCCGGAGAAGAAGCGTCGACGATCTAGGAGCAGGGACAGGGACAGGGAACGGGACAAGGGTCGGCACAGAGAAAGGCGAAGTCGTTCCAGAGACCGGGATAGGGACAGGAGAGATCGCTCCGACAGAGACAGGGACCGCGACAGGAAACGGTATATAGCAATTACAGTAATCGTATTCCTTGATCCTCGGTTCACGATTCCGATGGAAAGATTTCTGGTTCACAAAGGGAGATGTATTAAAATCGGTTTTAAAAACATGTACGGTCATGAAATAATGTATTAACATTGATTGTTTTCGGTATGCTAGTGGAGACAGTAAAGAAAAGCGTCTTACAGGCTCAAAGTCCTCGCGTTCAGGCAAAGATCGATCGAACAGATCGAGATCGCGGGAGAGGAAGGAGAAAGAGAAGGGCGAGAGCGATGAATTGCCATTCGATCACACTAAATTGGACAAGGTATGTTAATCGATCGCACTAATGATCACCTCCTTTTATTTAAAATTGTACTTTGTTAAGGAGGAGGAACAGAAACGATTGGAACTGGAAATGCAAAAGAGAAGAGAGAGGATAGAGCGGTGGCGGGCGGAACGGAAAAAGAAAGAATTGGAGGCGACTAAGAAAGATGGTAAGACATCGATTTTAGCAAATCTTCAGCTGCCCATGAAAAAGTGGTCGCTCGAAGACGACAGTGACGAGGAGACTCCCGTTGTTCAGAACAGCAACAAGGAAGTGAAAGAAGATGGGGAAATCAAGGAAGAGGTCGAAGAGGTTAAGGAAGAAGTGAAGGACGACGAAGAGGAGGTCGATCCTCTAGATGCGTTCATGGCAGAGGTCCAGGAAGAAGTTCGAAAGGTGAACAAGCTGGACAACAAGAGTGCGAAGAACACTAACAACGGCACGACCACCGGTGGAACTCAAAGCGGGGGTGTCGTAATCGTGACTGGAGTGGCCAAGAAGAAAGTGCAGAAGCAGAAGGGAGAGTTGATCGAGCAGAATCAAGATGGGCTCGAGTATTCGAGCGAGGAGGAAGGGGAGAATCTTCATGAAACAGCTGCCGGTATTGCGAACAAACAGAAACGCGAGTTAGCCAAAGTTGACCATGCGACAACGGAATATCAGCCGTTCAGAAAATCGTTCTACGTCGAAGTACCTGAGATCGCGAGAATGACGTCGGAGGAGGTGGAGGCGTACAAAGAAGAATTAGAAGGGATTCGCGTGAAAGGGAAGGGTTGCCCGAAGCCAATTAAATCGTGGGCGCAGTGCGGCGTCACGAAGAAAGAGTTGGAAGTGCTGAAGAAACTCGGTTACGAGAAACCGACGCCCATTCAATGTCAAGCCATTCCCGCGATCATGTCTGGCCGGGATTTGATAGGCATAGCGAAAACAGGCAGTGGAAAGACCCTGGCGTTCCTTCTGCCGATGTTCAGGCATATTCTGGATCAACCACCGCTGGCCGACGGTGACGGGCCGATCGCGTTAATCATGACACCGACCAGGGAGCTGTGCATGCAGATCGGGAGAGATTCGAAAAAGTTCACCAAGTCTTTGGGTTTATCCCACGTTTGCGTTTATGGTGGTACAGGCATATCGGAGCAGATAGCCGAATTGAAGAGAGGCGCTGAGATAATCGTGTGCACGCCGGGCAGAATGATCGACATGTTGGCGGCCAACAGCGGACGAGTAACGAATCTACGTAGAGTTACGTACGTCGTTCTCGACGAGGCCGACAGGATGTTCGACATGGGTTTCGAGCCGCAAGTCATGCGAATCATGGAGAACGTTCGACCCGATCGACAGACCGTGCTGTTCAGCGCCACGTTCCCACGGCAGATGGAAGCGTTGGCGAGAAGAATCTTGACCAGACCCGTGGAAGTCCAAGTCGGTGGACGGTCCATCGTCTGCAAGGACGTCGAGCAACACGTGGTGGTGCTAGAGGAGGATCAGAAGTTCTATAAGCTGCTCGAGATCCTCGGCCACTATCAAGACAAAGGTTCCACTATAATATTCGTGGATAAGCAAGAGAACGCGGACACGCTGCTGAAGGATCTCATGAAGGCTTCGTATTCCTGTATGTCTCTCCACGGTGGTATCGATCAGTGCGACAGAGATTCGACGATATTAGATTTCAAAGCGGGAAGAACGAAGCTGTTGGTCGCTACTTCAGTGGCTGCCAGAGGCTTGGACGTGAAGCATCTCGTACTCGTAGTGAATTACGATTGTCCGAATCATTACGAAGATTACGTGCACAGATGCGGAAGGACAGGAAGGGCTGGGAATAAAGGGTAAGATGAATCTCTTTAAAACAAAGCAATATGTATTTTAAATTTCTAAACAGTAAATTTATTTTATATTTATAGATACGCGTACACTTTCATCACGTCGGAGCAAGAACGATACGCGGGTGATATTCTCCGAGCTCACGAACTAGCCGGAGTGCCAGTGCCCGAACCGTTGCGTCAACTGTGGGAAGGGTACAAAGCCCGGCAGGCAGCAGACGGCAAGAAAGTCCATACCGGGGGTGGGTTCAGTGGTAAAGGTTTCAAGTTTGACGAATCCGAAGCAGCGTTAGCGAACGAGAAAAAGAAGTTCCAGAAGGCAGCTCTCGGACTTCAGGACTCCGACGACGAAGATATAGAAAATGACATCGATCAGCAGATTGAGAGTATGTTAGCTCCGAAGAGAACGGTTCGCGAGATCGCCAGGCCATCTGCTGCGAACCTCGCCGTGCCCGGTCAGCCAGTGCCCAGTGCGACAGATAAATTAGAATTAGCTAGGCGATTAGCGTCGAAGATCAACATAGCGAAGAACCTGGGAGCCGAGGCGAAGGGAGCGACGCAGCAAGCGGCGGAGGCTATACTCAAAGGTGCGGGACCAACCAATCTCATCACGGCGAAGACGGTCGCCGAACAGTTAGCTGCGAAGTTGAACACCAAGTTGAACTATCAACCGCGCGAAGAGGATCTCGTCGAAAGCGACGCGGAGACTGGGGAACAGACTTTCCGAAAATACGAAGAAGAACTGGAGATAAACGATTTCCCGCAGCAGGCCAGGTGGAGAGTCACGAGCAAAGAAGCCCTCGCACAGATCTCTGAGTATTCCGAAGCTGGCCTCACCGTCAGAGGGACTTACATCGCACCTGGTAAAGCTCCGCCAGAAGGCGAGAGGAAGTTGTATCTCGCCATCGAATCTACCAGCGAACTGGCGGTCAGCAAAGCAAAGGCAGAGGTCTCGCGATTGATCAAAGAGGAATTAATCAAGTTACAAGCTTCCGGGGCGCACACAGCGTCTCGTGGCCGATACAAGGTTTTGTAAAGAAAATAATGCTCTTCGTTTCGTAATTCTCTGCATTAATGGTATATATACAAACACTTATATATGATTCATTTCGATGAACTGCGTACGATAAAAATTAGAAATTTATTATAACTTATAGATATGTCTATACAAAAAAGTTTGTATTTAACAACGAGAACTTTGATTAACACGTTATTACCTGGTAGCATCTGCGTGCTATCCACATTTTTAATAACAAACACACGAGGCGAAACAAGAGATTCAGAGCAGATGTTTTTTTATTCACTACGAGAATACGATGTTTTTTGGTAACTTAAGTTAGGACTCTACGTTCTATTTACAACATAAAATGAGCAGCGTAATCACCGTTCAATTCCCAGAACGCAAATATTACACGGTGTTGCAATTTTTATTTGGTAACTAAAACTCGCAAGATCATCAGAATTAATAATTGCGTTCGGGTGATTATACATTCGCCTTTGTACATGTTCCACGCACTTTTCTTTCTTTGGCAATATTAAGATAAGAAAATACACTATAATTTTCTGTATATTACGTTAGTAGGCACTAGAAGAATCACAGTCATGAACTCGACGTTACCGGAAACGGTAAAATCGTTAGGTAAAAAAAAGAGAGAGAAAACGTTTTTAGCACCTTTGAGAAAACGCGACGTCCCCGATGTCTTTACGAGATTAGAACATAAATGAAAACTCCAGAAACGATATGCATAACGCATCCATTAATGGATATGGCACTTGATATGTAACTGTGAGCAAGTTCCGCTCTGGTGAGCGCGCCTAAAGGTACCTCGGCCGCGATCCTCGGGCTCCTCTCCGAAATCCTGGTAACTAACTTCTCCGCTTCGACCACGCAAGCCCGCAACTGCAAACTCGTTGGCCTCTTCAAGGTGGACTGGACCACGATGAATATGTCACGGTCCGGTGTGATCATGCCCCGGAGAACACACTGTGACACCTGAATCTGCCTTGAAAGGGCAGTTAACAGAGTCTCGAGCGTAACCGAATCCTTGTCCACGTCTTCGTCCATCATATAATATATCCTATCCAGCTGGAAACGAAAAATAACATGATCGTTGAAAGCAACGTACCGAATTCATTTCTGAGAATAAAAAAACGCGTGTACCTGTTTCTTGGAATAAAACAGTTTGGCCGCTCCGCCGCAAACGGGACAGCAAGCCCCGGGCGGTGTGACGCCCACGCAGTAAGGTTCTATCAGTCGAGGACATTGCACCGCCTCTCCGCATCGAGGTTTAGCATGATCACCGATTAATCCCACGGCCACGCAAGATCCAAAGTAATCCACCACGGTCCTCTCCGCCCAAGCCGCGCATTCGTTCGCATACACCTCTCCGTTGGCACCGCAAACCGGACCCCGCAAGCTACATCCTTCCAAACAAGGTCCTCTGTAACCCAGCGTGGCTCCGCTTCGGATCATAGCGCAAATAGAACTATGCTGACGATTCTCCTGGTCGCAGACGGGACCGCTAGTTTCGTCGCGTAAGTAGCAATCGAGGGGAACGCATTCGTATTGCGGACAAGGTTTATGAAGCCTCGACAAGCACACTCTGGTCCTCCGTACACATTTCTCGGTGCTGTCGCAAGGATTCGAGGCGCAGGGATCTCTGGACGAACATCTGCCGAACTCGACTTCGCTCGCGGACATCTCGGCGCATTTGGCCAAGCATCCGGACGCGAACGTGAAGCCTAATCGACCGCAGACGGGGACGTAGTGAGTCGGGCAGTCGCAGGGTAAAGACGGGACTCCTGGGTCTCCGCAATTCCTTTTCGAGCACGTGAACTCGCCCTCGAAGCAGTGGCAGGGGTTGCACTCGAGATAGAAGTTCGCTTTGTGTGCTATGTAACGATCGTGCACCCAACAAGAATTGAATTTGAAACAGTTGAGCGTTTTGCATTTCTCGAGACCGCGTAAAGTGCACTGGCAGATTCTGAGGCAGCCCTGTTGATCGAATCTCGGGATCTGCACCCAAGATCCCGCGGGAACCATTTGCTTTGACATCTCTCCCAGGGAACAGGCTGGCAGACACCGATATAATTGTCGACCGTGGTGCACCAGCTCGCAGATCTCGCCTTGGGCGCAAGGATTACTCTTGCAAGGTGTCGCGATGTCCTCTTCGAGATGTACGACAGATTCCTCTTGTGGATCTTCTAAGAACGGCTTCAGAGACACACAAGGCGCGTCAGACCTGGCCGGTGAAAGCTTGGCGCACAACGTGGCTGCTGTGTGCGGTCCAGTTATAGCGGACCAATCTACGCAGCTGACCATTAATTCTAAACAATCCTCGCGACAAAGTCTCGTTTCATGGATTCTGCTCTCGCAAGGACGTAGCTGTAACAGACACGCGGCTGCACGCAGTGTTTCCTGGGGACAGGATGCCGCAGCTCGCACTGGGATACCCAACCCTCGGACGGTACCACCTCGGGCCCAGTGATGCGCTTCCCATTCGGCTGCTTCGTCGGACGTCGCCGAACAACTTCTACGAGGGACGAAGAAAAAAGTAACGAAAAAATACTCGGGATTTTTAAATAAATTGAAGAACGGAGTTCTTACCTAAACAACGTCGTGGATCTATCATTGAATCGGGCGCAGTAGGACAGTCCCGAGCAGCCCATTTCGCAAGGATCGTCGGCATCCTCGAGACACCTCCTCAGCTCTCCTTCGAAACTGGACGATAGACATTCAGCGTCGAATTCCAGCCAGGCTGATTCCCAGTCGGCTTGAAACGCTCTCCAGCACAGACTCTGGCACGACAGCTTGGCCGCTTTGGTGCAGCACGACAATTTGCCCGCATCCAACGGAAGACGAGCCGGCTTCGGCGAACCAGACTTTAGCAAGCAGCTCCAAAACGGTGATTGAGGCAGAACTGGCTTGCATTTATCCGTCAACGCGTCCATGATCTCTTGATCGGTCGTCGCGGTTTGCAGGATTCGTCGGCACGTGTCGAGGCAGGCCGTGTTGGTCGCCTCGTTGCAACAATGCAGATCTACAGACGCATTCGAAAGAATGAAGAAGTTGTTGTAAAGTACGAATTACTCGTCGAACTCACGTTGTTTGGGATCCTCCGCCTGTTTCACCTCGGCGACGTTCTTCAGACACTTTGGCACTTGATGGAAGCATCCTTTGCTGCTGTACAACTTCAAGTTAGAGATCTTTCCGGGTTTATAGAAGAGATCTTGACAGATCGTCCTGCAAGTGTCGTTGGACACGTTACTGCAACATTTCTCGGCCTCCTCGCGTTTCTCCAGACAAGAAAAGAATTCGGGCTCGTCGCTTGGCCGACAGGATTCATTGAGATCTCTCCTGGATCCCGATAGCGCGCACGTGGATCGACAAACTGGATTCAGCGCCAGGTAACAGCAACCCCTTCCAATCCAGTTTCCATGTTTCTTCACCTCTATCGAAATTAAACATACCTAATCCTTTAATAACACTTGGGAACAATGATGGAAAGAAATGTTGTAAAATCTGAATGAAAACGGTACAGATGTTAAGTTCGAAAATTTGTTTGATTCGCTACAGAACTAAAAAAGAATTAGGAAGATTCGAAGATTCTCACCGTTCAGAGTCGAGTTAACGCAGCCCCAGAACCGAGCCTGAAAAAAAAGAACAAGTCGAAGGCGTCAGGATCATCTGGCATGAGTGAAAATCGGAGCGAACGTGTAAAAAAGAAAGGTAAGAGCCTCCTTTTGTAACGCGAATCCCGATCGACCTCTGCTCCCACGTTTTTCGTCCCCCTTCGAATCGGTTCGCGACCTTTCGGTTTCGAGTGCGGATTAAAAGGATCGATTAAAAGCGGCTTACCAGCTCCGGGGAACAGAACTCGAGCAGCCGGCGTGTCGCGTTCTCCCTCGCCTCCTCCTCGGCACCCAGCACCACCAAAGAGATCTGAAAGCGCCGCGCAACATTTTTTCTTAAGTGAATTGAAAAGATTCATCGGGGAATTAAAAGAAGTGATATCCGAAAACGTCGCGCAGCTGCCGCGCGATATTCGAGAATCGTAGAAAGTCCTCTGATACCCTTCAAAGTCTCTTCGATTTTTACGAACGGTACGAGCGTCGCGTCCCTCCTTGGGAATTTCCACTGTTCCGAATGCACAGTACGGCGCATTAGAAGTTATTAAGAATCAAGGACACGGGTACGGTCCGGTGGCCAGAGGCGATTTCCTGTTGCTCGTCACTGAATGACAATAGAAACCGCGCGGATATCGACTTGTTCTACCATTTAGAAGTTCATTTCGGATTCAATCGCCGTACGAGGACGTACAGTCTCTATCCCGTAGTCGCCTCACGGTTCCAAGTTACGACTATCCATCACCGTGCGCGGTGTTGGGTCTCGTTAGCTATTTGCCACGTACTGTACCGTGGGTCACGGGTCACTTTGTTCCTTTTTACACAAGCCACCAATCGCGTTCGCTTTTAAATAATATTATTTTTGGGTGAACCGAGCAACCAGAGGGAATGATTATTCGCGAGAATCATGAGTTTTAAATAGAACTGTCCAGGAATGAACTGTTGCAAACGTTTAAGGGCGTAAACGATAGCGAACTCGGAGGCGACGAACGTATTTCTGTCGCGGTATATTCTGGGAGCTATGCACTCTGCTAAACCGCGTCGCCGTTTCTCAAATGGGGTACACTTTTCTCTGCTCGCGAATACAAAGTAACGTCGTTTAATTTATTAATAAGGAATGGTTCTTGGCAGACGCGAGCAAACGCTGACTCGCGTTGATCTGTGGCTAGAGCAAATACTCGCTATAAATTGCGAGGGAACACGATATCATTGATATGGTCGCACGGTCGGTTCGCGGGCGTCAATTCGTAATATTTGCGTATGAATGAGCGGGCCATGGACCCCCGGGGGGGTCCCGCGTAAATCTCTCAGCGGGCCCCAGTGTCTCCGATATTATCTCCGGTCGAGGGGCCTCTGGTGCAGCCACTTTTAAAGAAGCTACAACCACGCGTGCACCCCACGTCGCTTGCTCGCCAGAGGTGAACCCTGTCGAAAAAACCACCTTGTGCGCTCGCACTTCCTCTTCCTTTTTTATTCATCCGAGAGATCCTAATATATCCGTGGACACGGCATATTTTGTATCCTTTATCGTCCCGAGGTCGGTCCACCGATATTTATCAGCCGGCCAGGACGATATCGCATTCGTCCACGGCGAAATTATACCTCCTTCTCTCTCTCTCTCTCTCTCTCTCTCTCTCTCTCTCTCTCTCTCTCTCGAAATTGTCTTTTTGACATTCCCACGGAGATCTCTCCTCCGCATAATTAATAGACACACGGCACGGGCTCGGGTCAGGTTTCGAAGAGCTTTCTAATTCATAATTCATTCGAGAACGTCGGAAAACAGCCGGAAACAATTGAAAGCTCTCGAGTGCGACCATGTGTCGACCGCGAATCGTCGGACGGGCACGTACCTTAGAGCAGACGCTGCGACAAGAACCGGCCGCCAGGGAACAGCAGGACATCTCTGCAACAAATAAAATAGAGATACAAAAGCGGGAAGACGTAAAAACATATGGTGGGATCCTCTACTTTTTCTCCGGACACGAAACAGACGCGTGTCCTGCGTTACGTCAACTTGGAAAAGAGAAAGGATCCGCCTGTATGGTACCGGATGAGGGTACGCGAGCCACGTCAAAATCGAACGACCCTCAAACGTGACGAATGGGCGATCGTCAGGATCGTCTTAAACTTTTTTCTAGCGGACAACATCGTTCCCGTACGTCTCTCTCCGTTCGAAATATTATTTTTATTAACGAGCACGGACGGTGGACATGAGCGATACGACTCTCACAGTCCTGATATGCGGGTCCGAAACTGGCTTTTAAAACCGAAATCGTGAATATATACCGGGGGCAATAAACGATGCACAAAGCGGTTGGAGACAAGAGGGTTCGAAGCGTGTTACAATTAAGTTAATAGATACCAGTCAGACACAAATTGCGGTCGACTACGTTTCTCTCTGCGTGACTCGCCTCGCGTATCGCATACTTTCATCGCGAGCCATTACAATATTCATTCGCTCTTTTAAATATCTATTTCTGTCCCGTCCGAAATGAAAATTTGTACAGCTGACATAGGCAGGGAGAGAAAAATCTTGCCGGGAGAAACAGCAGCCGGTTCGAACAGATATCGATTTCACGATAGGGAAACTCCGTATCCATATTTTTTTTCATTAGCATAACGATCCCCGGGGTTGAGATCAGAATTTCGTGGAACGATCTACCACGGTTTAATAATTGTGGAACTGTCGAAGACACCAGCTTGAGGGTCTTTTTGATGTCAGTGAAATTCGCTGTGGCAATCGTAACGCGTTTGTGGCTTCTCTCGTGGACGCGGACACAAAAATAGCCAGTTTGGTCGTCGTTTGCTGCGGCCATTCCGACTTCCACCCCGATCTAAGCTTCTCAAGTCCCCTTAATTTTATCTATCCGGATGGAACGGGACGGCCAAGACCTCCGCGCGTCTCTTTGAACGCCCGGGACTTCTCAGGTAAATTTAGATCCGTACACTCTCGATTCCCTTTGAGACCTCTTTTTTATTTCTTTGTTTATGTGTATATATATATATAAGATCGCATCAGTTTGTAAAACATTATTAGCGAAGTTCGATGTAATTACTTTATTAACACGTCTTCTGCATATTCGATGGAGTTGATTGCTTTAAGGATGCATTGGTTATACAGTCAATCCCAAAAGTTTATGCACTTTAGAAACGCATTTTTTAAAAAGAAATCAGACGTCGGAAGAACATTGCTAATAATAAACAATAAAAAAAATTTTCGATTTTTCCGAGATTTTTCCAAGGGGTACCCCTTCAATTTCTTCCAAATTTTCGTTTTTGGCCAATA